TTGTGCCTCAAACTGAAATGTACAGGCATTGTGAGCCCCTTTGGGCACCTGCAATGGGGCTGCCACCTGTGTCCTACTTCACCTTCTGGATTCCAGGGCACGAGTCCCTGCAAAGCCTGCCCTGTCACCAGAAGAGCAAATAAAGGAAACCAGGTGGGGCTCCCCCTCCACCAGTGGCCCTGGAGCCTTCCTCCCGGCCCACAGAAATTGCGAATGTCCCACTCGACATTCCACGGTTCTCGGGCACAATGGTGACGCCTGCTGCTAAGACAGGTGTGCGAAGGGAAACACAGGCATCACAGTGATGTTCAGAGAAGCACAAACTTAGAAGCCAGCACCGTTTTCACTGGTCAGCTTACCCCAGTGATTTGTGAATAACCACGTGAGCTAATTCAGCGAGTGTCTGAAAATTCATTTCTTCAGCTCCTCCCAGCATTTCCATTTAGGGAGGCTTTCAGTTCCACTAAATAAATGAGAATATAAATAATTAACAGCAACACTATAAACTAGGTGGGCCCCAGGCTCAGGAAGAGCACCCCTGCACCAGGAAAACCCCCAACTGCTCTCATACACATGCGCCCCATCTATGTGAGACCCAGGCAACACCCCTCCATCCCCAACTAAAGAAAAAGCATTTAAGATTAAAACAAGTCAAGGATAAATTTCTACTATCAGGAATGGCTGACCAGGGTGCTGAAATCTCCCAACATCTAGTCACCCACAGAAGAGCTCACATTCTAGCAATCTTTTCTAAGTAATAGTCAGGATGTGCCTACCAGGATCATAATCTTCCACAAAAATGCAACAGGGAGAACAGCTTCCGTCTGGTGGCTCTGCCACTGCTTCCCCGCCCTGTTCCCTTTAGAAATACGTCTTTCAGAGCAAGAACGGAATCTCTTCTTCCACACAGCAGCCTGTAAGAGCTCTGCTCAGTGCTGATGCAGCCGTGGGAAAACGTGCAGGGGCGTCAGTGGCCAGTTCCAAAACCAGATCTGGTTAAGGCAGGCAAACAACTAGTTACCTTTACCAGCCAGTCTTCACCAGCAGTAGCTGTACCACCCAGAAATGGAGCTCTGGGACTCTTACAAACAAGAACCTACCCCTCTCTGCAGTACAAGCTTGGAAACCACAACTGAGAATGCCTCCTCTCCTCTGCGTCCTCAAAGGTCAGCGAAAACTGGGAGCCTATGCAGCTCAGCGGCGACAGCTGTGGCACCACCTCCTCAGAACTCAGGACATCCACAGATGTCACAGTTCACAGGCCCATGACACATGATTCCAAAACCAGCTATACTGGGCTCACCTCCCGGGGCGGGCAAGACTCAGGAAGCTTAAGTTTTAGGAGAGGTGTGGACAGCTCAGGAGCACGAAAACCAGCAGAAAACAGATGGTGCTAAGCGCTGCAAAATAAATCATCAGAGCAACGTGACAGAGTAGCCGGCAGGGGCTCGCTCTGAATCACGGGGGTCAGAGGATCTCCTCTGAGGAGACACTGACATTGAGCCCAGAGCCCAGAGCCCAGAGCCCAGAGCCCAGAGGCAGGCAAGAGCTCAGCCTGTTCTCAGAACAGAGAGGAGGCGAGAGTGGGTAAGGGACCTGCTGGCTGCACAGCAGAGAACATAGAAGGCCAGGCACTCGGGCTGCAGCCTCGAGAGGAGCGTGACATGAGGGGCCGTGGCACATCCTAAACTGACACGGGCCATTCTTTCCCTCTTTCACTGTTACTAACCTGCCAGTGTATGCTGCCCTAAACCCTGAAAGCAGGGGCTATGTCTCCTCACTTCTTTCTTCCTTGACTGGGAAGTATGCCCAGCACACTGCTGCATACAAAAAAGGCATTTGTTGCGCGCACACACACTGTTCATTTGTTCAGATGCTTTGAAGAACCCACATTTAAAGACTTGCCACAAGAATCATTCCCCTGGATGTATGCAGTTTTCACCACTACAGCAGTTGGATTATACTGGGAAAATAAAACACTTAGAATTAAAATCTCAGTTGACAGAAATGCTTGCCTACCTATCAGTGAAAAGAATTTGGCTGGAGTTTTCCTACCAACACAAAAGTAAATAAATTAGCTATCTGCCCAAAGGGAGTCCCCTTCTTACTGAGCATGGAAAGGCAGGGAAAGGCCGTAGGCGAAGGCTAGCACCACCATCACATGGGCCCCCCTCCATGCCTGCCCGTCGCCACCTACTGGACAGCCGAGGACAGAGATCTGTGCAGTTTCCAGGGCCTGAGACTTCTGGAGTCAGTTAACGGGGACAAATAATTGAAACTGACACAGGACAATTCATGAATTTGAGAAAAGGGCTCCTAAAAGATTTAGAAATAACTAATAAAATATTTTCTTACCCTAATAAGTCAAGTTAATGTACCTCGTTAGAGGTTTAAAAAATTGTGGTGAAATTTGTTTTTGTTTTAAAAAAGAAAAGAAAGCCCTGGCCAGGTGGCTCAGCTGGCTGGAGAGTCGTGCCATACACCAAAAGTTTGCGGGTTCAATTCCCAGTCAGGGTACATACCTAGGCTGCGGGTTCGATCCCAGGTCAAGGTGCATAAGGGAGACAACATATTGCTGTTTCTCTCTCACATCAATGTTTTCCCCTCTCTCTCTCTCCCTCTCTCTCTAAAATCAACACAAACATACCCTCTGGTGAGGACAGAGAAGGCACTAGTTGAAAGAAGGTTGAAGATCCTAAAAATATGAAGTATTACTCTACCACTTCTAGAAAAATATTTAGAATGAAAAAAAGACTACATTTTTTATTCAAATACAATTAAAATAGAGTAATAAATCAAAACTACAGACTACTGAGCAAATGCAACCAGAGGGAGCCACCAGGGCCAAGAGGAAATGGGGAGAGCTGGGTCCTGGAAAACAAAGTTCAAGACGGTTTTCAGGGGCGAAGGGGCTACAGGAACAGGAGCTGCTGAGTGGCCGAGTCCATAGTCATGAACTAAAGCAATGTGGAGATCTCTGGGGACCACGTGAGAGTCTCTGCAGACTAGAGTAGTGCCCTGAGGGGGCAGCAAGACGGGAGAAAATAGAGATATTTCTCAGCTGGGAATATTTAAAGGCCAACGGGAATAAGAGAAATAGTGAAAGAGCAGACTGACTTGACAAGGGGACGAAGGGCTTGGTGGAGGTTGCCAGGCAGGTAGGAGGGGAGGGCAGGAGGAGCGGGAAGGGCGGGAGGCTCCACAGGTGCACAACCTGTACAGTCACACAGGCAGGGCCCCCATTCAGATGGGCCCCACCCTTGGTTTAATGCTCTGCTGTCACCATCTTGAAATTCTTTAAAATTTTTGAACAAGGGGCCCCTCATTTTCATTTTGCACTAAGCCTCACAAATTATGCGCAGGCCCAGGGAGGTGCTGGCCTCAGCACCAGGAAGGACAGCTCGGCTGCCAGAGCAGGGGAGGGAGTGGAGAGGCAGGGTCAGTGCCATCCGACAGTGTCTTTCTCTGTGAAGCAGAAAAAGGGTCATTTGCCATGAATGAGCCAGATGGCAGACAAAGGGAGAGAGGTTGAAAGTTCACAGCAGAGTGGAGAAATCTGGCAGGCTCCACCTTAACCCAGCAATCAAGGCTCATGTCACCTGTACTAAGACAATTCAGTGTCACGTGCCTCCTCATACGATACACTAAAAAGGGCACACGATCACTCTTGTGCTATTTGCTATTCCTGTCAGAGCACATAACCTCAGCGCAGTCATAGGAAGCCCAAACCTAGGGACATGCTACAAAACAGCAGACCAGCAGTCTTGAAAAGAGTCAAGGTCATGAAAGAAAGGGAAAGACAGGGGAACTGCCACAGATTGGAGGAGACTAACTGGATACAATATGAGATTATCCTGAAACAGAAAAAGGAGATACGGAAAAAACTAGTAAAATTTAAATGAGGCTTGTCGCGTAGTCAACAGTACTGTATGAGTATCAGTTTCGATGTTCTGATCAGTGTACTGTGATTATGAAAGACAGTAAAATTCAGGGAAGCTGTGACAAGAGAGTGCAAACTCTGACTCCTTTTCAACTTTCCTGTAAATCTCAAATTACTGCAACATAAAAAGTGTAAATTTTCATGTGGATGTTTTATTTGTGATTTCTTTAATGTTATCAGTAATTCCAGGAACCTCAGTGGACACCTTTGAAGTCTAGCACTACTGCGTCAGACATGTTCCTGCTTCTCTATCAACCCAAAGAATCAGGAACAAAAGAGGAAGCTTATGTTCCCTGTAGAAATTATAACTTTGAACAGGTCATAGAGCTTTACGTTTATATAACGCTTCCCCACATCTACTGCATCGCTCTGCGTCACAGCCTCTTGGCAAGAAAGGGGGGTGGGACTGGAACATCCCTTCAGTTTTCACTCCTCTGCCTGCCCTCCCCTGTATCTGGAAGGCTACTAAGTGGGCGTGTTGATTAAAGCCTTTAGAAGTGTTGAGCACCTATGGGAGAACCACACAGGTTACAGGACTATCAACAGAGTTCCTTTCTCAATTTTAATTTTAATTTTTTCTGAAAGCTTACAGAGTCAGCAGTGAATCCAGGTCAGATGTTGCTTTAGAAAAATGAGGTTTTACAAAGAACCTCAGATGACACATCTGCTTACACCTGGCATAAAACCCACTCCAGGTAACCATTCCAAATGGGTGAAGCCTGCTAGTCCAGAGCCAAGGGGAGTTGTGCCGCTACTCTGCTGCCACCCAGTGGCGCATGGGTGCCAAAGCACCTTGCCAGGGAGCAGGAGCCCAAAGAACTGGGCCCTCTGCAAAGGGCATTTTCTCTGGAATCCAAAGTCAGGAGGAGACAGGGAGAAGGGCTGTCCCTGCCTGCCACAGCACTAAGGAGGCGGGATGTCAACAGGGGAGAAGGGATGTATTAAAATAAATACTGCACTGAAGTGTTTTGTCCACCAGATTGAGAACTGCTCCAGGGACTAAGCTGAAGCCAAAAGATGTTTCAGGCACTCACGGAACAGACCCCGACTCCAGACTTACCTGCTTTGGGTCAGAGGTAGCAGGGCCAGGAGCTGGAGATTCCAGTACTATGGTCATAGGCCCATCGTTCTGGATGTGGACTTGCATGTAGGCACCAAACTTGCCGTCTGAAAGAGCAAGTCAAACAGTCAGAAGAGATAGAGACCCCAGATTACCCCATCTAAAAAGCACACCTGTATCAGTGTAATCAGAAAGCTGGGGAGTAGAAATGGCCCACCCCACCAGCAGTGAAGGAAATACAAAATTAGTCAGCGGAGGTGCCACCACACACCCCCTACAGACTTGGCAAGAATGAAAGACCTGGCAACACGAAAGGAGGGGGGGAATGTGGGTTAAGAGGACTGTAAAATGGCAGGGGAATAAACTGGTGTAACTACTTGGCAGGGCATATTGGTGCCATACCCAGTAAAGTTCAAGTTGAACAAGCCCTACAGCCTTGGAATTCTACTTTGGTGAGACTACTCTAGAAAGTCTCAAGCATAAGGAAACATTTAAAGGTTCATTCTGGCAGTGTCTATAAAGGAAAAGAGTGACCACAGCCTGACTGTCCCCTCGGTGGGGGAATGAATGCATAAGCACTACCTTAATTCCTCAATGGGATACTGTAAAGCAGCCACATCTGTCAACGCGGCAAATTTCAAAAACAAGATGCAATCTTTAAAAAGTAACTGTAAGAAGGATACATTGTTATAGCATTTATATGATTTTTTTAACAGCAATACAAGTTATATTATTTATGGATATACATAAGTGTGTGTATGTGCCCGTACACATATGAAAAAAAATGGGCAGGAAAGACAAATGCAACCACAGGATAGCAGCAACGTTCATACTGAAGAGAAGGTAGGAGGTGGTGGGATTTGAGAGAGATCTGAAATAAATGTGACCAACTGGGTAGCAAGTACACAGGTATCTATTTTCTGTATGTCTCTTAATTTTTTTTTTTTAAAGCAAGTTTTGTTTTGTTTTTTATTGATTTCAGAGAGAGGAAGAGAGAGGGAGAGAGGGAGATAGAAACATCAATGATAAGCGTCATTGGCAGGCTGCCTCCTGCATGCCCCCTGCTGGGGATCGAGCCCACAACCTGGGCATGTGCCCTGACCGGGAATCAACCGTGATCTCCTGGATCCTAGGTCGGCATGTTTCATAATTTTTAAACAATATAAATATAAATGAAAAGAAAGCTCAGGAGATAATTTGGGGGACTGTAGCTGGCCCACATGCCCACACAGAGTAAGGCAGAAGAAGGTCCTGCTCCCTCACTGTGGGGCAAGAGGCCGGTCAAGCAACAGGCAGCACCTCAGGGCAGAGCACTGCAGAGAAGCCTTACTCCTCGCAGGACAGGCTGCCAGAGTGGGCCACTCGTCTCCCCACTCCATGTTCCCTCCTCACCCCACTAAGGCAGCAGAACCATCCCGATCCCAGGAAATGCACTGTCTGCCTGGCCACAGGCTGCCCCCAAAAGATCACTTCTTTGTCCTATTCCCAACTTTCTGTTTTAACACCAAACCCACTCGCTGCGTCTGATCAATCCCCAAAGCCTGACTTACATTTATAAAGAAAACCAAGAACATGCTTCTCGAGATGATATCAGAATAGTCATAATGTCATCTCCATCCATCCAAGGGCCTCTGTTAGGCACTTGGCTTAAACACTGCTGATGGCCTTGACAGTAGGGAACGCTGCTTTTGACAAGTAGGGGGGTTACTTGCATACCACCCCTGAGAAATCCAAAATTAAGGAAAGAGTTGGGTCCACAGAGTAAAGTTAGTTTGAATCCTCAGAAACCAAGAGCCACCAAGAACTCTTCTGCCCCTACCCACCATTAAGGAGCAGAGAGAGTATGAGATCAAGTCCGCATTTAAGAATCACTCACCGCTTTTCACTCACAGCAACTGCACCAAGCTCCGTGCTAGACACCGAAGAACCAGCTCAAAGGCACAGAGGCCTGACACCCATGAACCCTGTGGTCTAATGTGAAGGACAAACGGGCACATCGTGATGATGACCACGAGGGCTCCTGGCCCTCAGACCAGAGAGGGCTCAGAGTCCCTACCTTGGGGGATGGGAAGGGAATCAGAAAGGCTTCTCGGATGAGCCTACACAAGGTCCAACCCTTGAAGGGAAACCAAGACTCAGGCTGGAAAACAGAACAGGCCAGCCCCTGGCAAGATCTGAGGCCTTGAGCAAGTTTCTTAACCTCCCAATGGCTCGGTTTCTCGCCTGCAACACAGGGATACTAACAAGAGGAAATTTCAGTGAGACGATGCATGGAAGTGCTTGGGACAGTGGCTAAGACGTGGTGTGTGCAAAATCAGTGTTTGCCCTTATGAGGAAAAGTCATGCTCAAGACGCTGCACACAACCGGAGCAAAGAAGGCCGCAGCCAGGTGCTTCTGAGAACCACGCTTGTCTGAACCCGTCCTTGTAGGACCACGAGGTACAGGAGCATATACCAGGCTCTCGAGACACCCTTAGGTAGAAAAACCTATTTCATTTCTTTGCTCTGGTAGTTACCAAACTCCCCTGGGCAGGGAGCCCTCATTTCACCGGGAGCATCCTTTAGAGTGCCAGTGACCCTCTGGGAGAGGCCAAGGAAGCGAAAAGCCCAGGGCAGGCCAGCCTGAAGCCTGGAGCGGCTCTGCTCTCAGGTCCCGGGGTCCCTCGGACACCAGGCCCGCCACGGCGTGAGCGACCTCTGTGAGCCCCTGCCACCACCACCACCACACGGCTTTCACCTCTGATTCCTCCCCACCTAGTATCACTATCACTCCCTGAAACCGTCGGCAACCTCGCGGAGGGCCTTAGGGAAGTGCGCACAGCAACTGTTGCTTTCTTCCGAGCACAGGCAGCAGTCCTGAGAGCCGTGTTAAAAGCACCCGTGCTGTTCTCCATTTTTATAGGCAAGATTATCTAGTTCCTACGGGCAACCAAACGGGCTCAAGTTAATGGTGACTTCCCGCGACCTCCTATCAGGTTAAAATGGCCATTCATATCTACAGAGTTTTTGTTTTATCCATGTCAGGGAGCTAAAAAGACATCAGCTGAGAAGGAAATCATGTGTTTAATTGCATGCTAAAATTATGGCTACAATTAGTAGCAAATTTCAGCTGCTGCACTCCTCAGGGAAGCCGGCGGCAGGCGCAGGGGGGAAGGAATTATTTCCGACCTTGGATTCCTGTTGCCAGGATATACGGCACATGCTTCACCGTGTTTATCATTCCAAAGCAAGAAATTTATTTCCTCTTCCTGTTTCTCTTCCGCTAAGAGCAGAGCTATTATGTGAATCTCCATTTGTACAGACAAAAAATCCAAAGACAGGTTTTCAGAGGCCTTAAAATGGTAACATTTTTTTCCAGTCTAGATCAAAGAGTAAAGCCCCCAAGAAAAACTATATTGGCCAGGGGAAATAAAAACATTTGTTAAAATAATCTTAAAAAACAAAAGCATATCTATAAAACTACATCTGGGCTCCAATGGTGATATAATCAAGTTGTCCTTAGGCCTACAAATCCCTGGGTTCTGTGCGGAGCTGGAGGAGAGGCACGTGTCCGACACGCCTGTGCCGCCTTCCAGCAGGAAAACCCCACCGGAGCCAAGCCTGCTGCGGCCTGGTCCCCACACCGCTGCCCAAGGCCCGACCCCAGCCAGGGCACCCCTTTTACTTTAGAAGCCGACGAACCATCCCTTTAAAAGCTGCCTGGCTGACTGTGACCACCCTCAAGAAGCACTGCCCTGCCTCTCATGCCGTCTGATCTGGAATGAAAGGACAGTCCCCCTGGGAGGGCACGTGCACGAGGGTACACGCGAGTGAGGCGGCCAGGGCGATGGACTGCCGTCACTCCTGCTGCTGCCCACGGTAGTGCCTGGGCAAGTAAGGGGGGAAGGGCAAGAACCACACCGAGGAAGCGCTACCGAAGAAAACCTCGGTGTCCAGAGCCGGCCCGGCACAGCTGCCACCAGGCTGCGGCTCAGCCTATCTCTGGGGACAGCACCTGGACACAGCCTTGGGCCAGCCCATGAGCCCACCCCAAAGGCAGCCCCCTCTGCCACTCAGGCTTCCCCTTAGTTCCACTTTCAGCCTGTTCAGGGCCTGGGCAGACGAGCATGAGGGTGCTACTAACAGAGACCCCAACATGGGTATACAGGCTGGGAACCAAGAAATCAGCAAATGTGTGGCCCTGGGGGGCTCAAAGCAAGCACATGGTGAGGCTAGGGCCATGCGGCTGGAGGCGTTCATTCTAGACACGCAGCCTGCACCACGCCCGCAGCCCATGGAAGTACGACCCTGTCAGGCTGCGGGCACTATGGCAGCTCTGTCCACAAGCACCCAGTTGCCTCAACACAGGCAGAGTGCCCCTTGGCACCACCTCCCAAGAGGGCTCAGCTGATGCAAGGTGCCACCACTGGGGGAAGGAGTTGAAGATAGCAGCCGATACACTCAAGGGGGGCCTGAAAAGCAGAGGCGGGGCTCTGGGAATCAGCAGAGACCAGCAGCTCAAATAATGGCACTTCCTGCATGACTACTCTGGGGAAATAACCAGTTGTTGGAAAAAGGGTGCATTACAAGGCCCCTGAGAGCCAAGTTTCTCAGAGAACAAGGCCCAGCCCCCGGTGGGCAGCATGAGAACCACTCTCCAATTCCAGCCACATTCAGGGCCATGGAGGGGACTGGAAAGGCAATCCCAGGACCCTTCTGACTTCATTCCAGGCTCAGGTCACCCTTATGGGTGGTCTCTGCGTGGCTCTGTAGCAGTTCAGTTCAGTCCACTCAAGAGAGATGCCTCCTCTGGGCAGCAAACGTCTCAGGCGTGGGACTCTGTGGCAAAAATCACTGTGGGATAAGCCCTGTGACCAAGGACAGAGAGTGCCTACTCACAGGAGAGTGAGGGCACCTGTCACCAAATGGGGCCACCCAATTCCCAGCCAAAGGGGGGAAACGTGCATTAACATAGCAAATGCCTAGGATCAAAATTAACCTCTTGCTGGGAGGTTAAATTCTCATCTGAGCTGAAACTCTGAGGTCATGGATTTGGTGCAGCCCTTCTTGCTCAACAAGCAGGCTCAAGGCATGGCTTTCTCTGACCATCAGCTTTGCTCAGATCTCTCAGCTCTGCTGAAGTCCTAGCCGTCACTCCGCCTGGGATAACTGCATCGGAGGCTACCTGGTCTCCTCACTGCGGTGGGAATGAGCATGTGCAGAGACAAGGCAGTGTTTGAGGTGCCAAAGGACCTACATGGACCCCTGTATGAAACAGCTCAGACGCAGCTAACTCCATCAGGCACGGACACCCCTTTGCCAAGAGCAACAGAGTAAGAAACCAGGGAGGGCAGTTTCTGAACTCATCAGACATTTAATTTCAGACTAATTCCTGTGGACTTGAAAGCCTTTGTACGTGAATATGACATAGGATTTAAACTTGACGTGCAATTTTTCCCTGGGACTGCGATAACAGAAGAGGGTTTACATTCAAATTCCGTGCATCTCCATGCCGATGGCATTATTAGTTTCTTGCATATTTTATTATTGGAGTATACTGATGTCATCACTTAACCTTGCAGAACCTCTGGTGTGCTGGGCTGGGCAATGTTCTGGGGCACAGTTTGGGACACAGACTAGGGACTAAGTCTTCACTTTGAGAGCACAGTGACCTTGGAGGTGCTTCTACAGCAGTGTTATGACCCAGTTCAGAGCCTCTGGGGACAAAAGACAGACAGCAGGAGCAACTTCAAAGATTTCAAAGGCAGGGTAATAGAAGATGGTGGCAGAGTAGGTAGAAGTTACACTCACCTCCTCCCAGGACCATACTGGAATTATAACTAAAATATGGAACAATCAACCTGAAGAACCAACTGAAGACTAGCTGAACAGAAGGCTTACAACCAAGGACTTACAGAAGAAGCCACATGGAGACTGGTAGGAAGGGTGGAGATGGGAAAAGGGCTGGCCCTGCTCCCACATTCAGTGGCTCAGAATCCAGAGGGATATGTCAGCTGCAGAGATTCCACCCTAAGGAACCTGGGGTCTCAACACCACGCCTGGCTCCCTAGCCCAGGGCAACAGAGCAGAGAAGAAGTGCCCACGTAACATCTGGCTATAAAAATCAGCGGGGATTCTGTCCACCAGAGGAGACAGACACCCTCTTAAAGGGCCCAATGCACAAAATCTCCTTTGCAGCCACTCACCCGGGGCTCCAGCAGAGGGAAGGCAGCTTGGAGCAGACTAGAGTATTGCAAGGACAGGCTGGGCTGTGTGGCTCCAGGAAGAGAGCTGAAGGGTCAGCCACCAGGGTCCCTGTGCTGAGTTCCTCTCCCAAACGACTCACAGATGCCATCTTTCCTGGGGCAGTCACTGCCCTCCAATCTGGACTATACAATCCCACCCTCTCAGCGCCCCTGTTACCCCACTGGAGCTCAAGCCCTGCCCAGGAGTCTGCTGCCCGGGCCTGTGGTATACTCTCTTGAAGGGATCTTGAGGGCAAACTCAAGGAGAATCAGACAGAGTTTTGTGGCTCTGGGGCAGAGATCTTTTCCTCTTCCCACTGACCTAGGGCCAGGGGACTCCAGCCAGGCACTGCTGGACATAGCAGCCCCTCCAAGCACTGGCGAGGAGCGCTCTGCACCCAACAGCGATAGCAGCTCCTCTGAGGACCAGCCCCAGTGGAGAGAGTTTGCCATTTAGGCAGAAGAAAGGTATAAACTGTGGCCACAGAGATGATGTAGCTTAAGTGTAAGACCAAAAAGACACATGCAGAAATAAATAAGGAAGTTGATAAGCAAATTTCTGAAGAGAATAAAAGGAAAGGAAGGAAGGACACAAAACATTAACTGATTTGGCCAAAATCAGTCCATATCTGCATTAAACTTCTGCACGACATCATCAGCCTGTGCCGCACTCAGCCGGCCTTGCCATTTATCAGCAATGTAGAAGTGGCCATGTTGTGATTTCCTAAATTTACATTAACCACAGCCCTTTTCCAAAGCACGTAAAAAAGGCTTCCGCTGAAGGTTCACTCACGCTAAAATGTTTTAAGTAGCGAAAAGAGTAGAGCACTAAACAAACCCATAAAGATTAAACACCAGCCATGAAGCAAAAACTAGACGCTGTCTTCCTCCTCCTGGCGCCTTCTCCTTGCATATGAACCTGTAGGGGCGCTGAGGCCATCGCAAAGCTGCAGCCCTCCTTAAATGTCTTTCCACATTTCTTAAGCTCTTTGAGCCCATGATAGCTCAGACCCCACAGAGAGTGCACAGGCAGCTCTTTTTAATACCATGGCAGCTTCTGATTTGCTGAACAAAGCCGACAGGTGAATGCTTCCTGAGCCCACTACAAACAGCTCAGAGTTGGAACAAGAAGCTTGAGAGCAGAAATCTTTTTTTTTCCTAGCTATAAAAGCAATGCATGCTCACCAGTCAACTTTGAGAGTGTTTAAGACCTCCCACTGATCAGTATTTTTAGCATTTTTCTGAAGGATGGAAATTCCTGGGGGGCTGCAGAGGGCGACATGTGAATCCAGTTTCCTGGGCCCACTCAGTCAGTCTGGGGGTTCAATAAAGCACCCTCAACCTCTGGCTCATTCTGCAGTAGAGGGAAAAAACTGAAGAATTTGTGCTAGTTTATTTCCCCCATAAAGCAATTATTTGAAGAGCCAGAGGAGGAGGAAGATCCTTTGAGAGCACCAAAGTTATGAGCTATAGAGGGTTAAAGATGGCCCCAAATTCTTTGGCGTTGGTCGCAAGGTGGCTCTGCGTCCCCCTCCCTTTCAATCTGGGTGGCCTGAGACTGCTCCGACCAACAGCCTAGTGCAGAGGTGACGCTGCTCCACTTTTCAGGCCCAGTGCCAGGGGCCTGGCTTCCTTTTCCTGTCCCTTGGGACACCCGCTCTTGGAACCATGCCCCGAGAGAAGCAGCCACCATGTTAGGAACCCCACCACCCTGCGTCCGCCAGGCTGCGAGGAGCCAGGAGGATGAGAGGAGGAGGGAAGAGGAATAGAGGCACAGAGGCCGCCAGCCGGTGTGGCTCAGTGGTTGAGTGAGACCCATGAAGCAAGAGGTCACAGGTTTCAATTCCCGGTCGGGGCACATGCCCGGGTTGCGGGCTCAATCCCCAGTCGGGGGCATGCAGGAGGCGGCCGATAGGTGTCTCTCTCACATTGATGTTTCTCTCTCTCTCTCCCTCCCTCTCCCCCTCCCCCCTCCCTTCCACTCTCTGAAAATCGATGGAAAAAATATCCTTGGGTGAGAATTAACAAAAAACAAAACAAAAAAAACTGAGATGTGCTGTAAGTATAAACTACACACCAGACATAGAAGACTTCAGTACAAAATATATATATAAATTATTTCATTACAACTTTTTATATTAATTACATGGTAAATTCACATTTTAGATATAGTAGGCTAAAGAAAATACAGTTTTCAAATTAATTTCACTTGCTTCTTTTCACTTTTTTAAATAAGGCTACTAGAAATTTAAAATGACATGTGGCTCACATTTGTGGCTTGCACTGTGTTTCTGTCGGGCAGGGTAAGTAGACGGATAAAGGGTGTCGGGGGCAGTCAGAGGACACGTGCAGCAACAGGCAGTGGCAGCAGCCGTTATGTTGTGTTAAGTAGGTAATAAGCACAAACAAACTCTGTGACAAAGGAGAGGCCGCAATGCAGATTCTCCCCTCCCGGGTCTGGAGGTGTCCCAGGGACACCCCCCC